GTTGAGAGTTATAAAGTAAAGGTCAGTATAATGATTCCTGAAATATTCTATTCAAATATTATTGAATAAGTTTGTCCTTATTCATCAATATTTGAATAAAGAGGGGCAAGGCAGTTAGAAAAATAATGCTGCAGAGAATAAAAGATGAGTATACCCATACTTGGAGTCCTGGTGTGGTGCTGTGGGATAAAGCACTGCACTACAAGGTCAGTTTGAACCACAAGGTTGGCTGTTCAAACTCACCAGCCACTCCTGATAAACCCTATATAGGGTTGCTATGAATCAGAACCAACTGGATGGCACGCAACAAGAACATACCCCTATTTAGAAGTTTTGGTGTGGCACTGTGGGTTAATGTGCTGGATTGCAAAGTTGATTTGGACTGCAAGGTCCGAGTTCAAACTCATCAGTCGCTCCTTGGAAACCCTATATAGAGTCGCTATGAGTCAGAGACAACAACAACATACCCATATTTAGTCAGAGTCCTGGTGTGGCGTGGTAGGATGAGCACTCAACCAGAATGTCGATTTGAACCACAAGGTTGGTTCAAACTCACCAAACGCTTCTTGGAAACCCTATACAGAGTTGCTGTGAGTTGGAGCCAAGTAAAGAACAGCAATACCCCTATTTTGAATGTTTAGATGTGAACTGTTAAAGTGTTTCTGTGTTTTCTCTTCAGTGGCAATGACAACTGTTTAGATGTATAGAAATATTCTTATTTTGCTTCCAATTAATCCCTGGTTTGGAAGTGTAAAAATAAGGTTATTTCCTCCTTGGAGCAAATTAAATTTGAGGAAAACTTGTTAATAGAATTACACAGAGAAACTGTTACTTACGTCAAAACTGTCTTTTATGTTTTGTAAAATAAATTATTCATTCATGGTGATATGGTTCAAGTACCACAGGCTAAATAAATAACTGCATGTGTTTGTGGTTTCCCAGGAAGTAAGTTGCCAACATCCAGACTTGCTCTGCCTTGACCCGGCTTTGGTCAGTGCTGGCTGCCTGGCCAGCCTGCAGCAGCCTGTAGGCATCCTGCTGCTGGAGGAAACTCTGCTCCACTTAGATCCCCCCGAGCCTCCGAACAAGCGGACCCGAGGGACGCCCCGCCCGTCTCCAGAAGTCATCAGATGGATCGAGCTTGCAAAGTAAGCCTTGTGATTACAGCACTCTGTATAAATAACCACAAATTTGACCCAAGTAGTAAAGAAAGTGCTTTTTCTTGACAAGTGGGTGGCGCAGTTGACTGCTAACTACAAGGTCGGTGGTACAAGCCCACCAGCCGCTCCTCAGAAACCCTAAATCGGGTCGATATGAGTCAGAGCCTACTCAGCGTTGCTTCACAACAGCAACCACTAACCTAAACTTGTGGTTCAGCCTTGGAAAGGCTTGCTGTTCTCCGTCTGTGAAGATTGCAGCCAAGAAAACTCACAGAGCAATTTTACCCTGTAAGGTGGCCATGAACTGCAATCCACTCAACATGAACAGTTTTGGATTGACTTTAATATAGACAAACTTTGGCTCCATTTTGGAGCAAATGAATGAATAAAGGTGACAGTAACATTTCTGTGAAATGTCTTGAAACCTCTTGCAAGTGAATTCCATTCCATGAATCAAGAAACCTTGTCAGAACAAGGAGCATCTTGCTCGGGATAGAAAATTAATTAACCCTGCTTTATTAAGTGCTGTCAAGTCTTCTTATTTTAGCAGCCCAGTGTACATCAGTACAAAACACCAACCAGTCCTGCACCATCCTCACAGTTGCTGCTATGTTCAATTGAGCCCACTGTTGGTGGCACTATGCCATTCCATCTCAATGGCGGGCTCCCTCTCTTTTGCTGTTTCTTCACTTTGCCAAGTATGTCTTTCTCCAGGGACTGGTCATAAATGATTTTTTTTTTTTGGATTGAGATCATGAGTATAGTCATGTTTTTGTTTTTTACACCTACAAAACAAAAAATATATATTCATTTAAATGCCCATAGGGTGCAGTTTTCAAGCCAGCCTCCTGCCCTCAGGCATACAGCTTTTCTAAATCCATGGATCTAGAGTCCGCAGCTGCTTTATCTCTCACGCAATCTCCATCTCTGATGTTGCTGCTTTTCTAGGTAGGATCTCATGCTCCACTCATACTCTTCCTTCTTCTTGTCCTGGGATCCTCTGTTCCTGAAATCAAAGATTAACTACTCCCCCTTTTCATTATACATCTTCCACAATTATAGTTGTGACAATTGCAATTATCCTGCTAACAGTTGATCCATCACATCCTATCACCGTCATTCCCTATACTCTTTCACCAGAGCTATCAGAAAAAACGGAAAACTATTCAGTGGGGTGTCACCTCCATTCTGAAACTAAGAACATTCATGAAAGTTTTTAAGCCAGCTACTTAATACCTTTATTTTTGTTGTTATTAAGTGCCATTGAGTCGGTTCCTACCCATAGCAATCCTGTATAGGGTTTCCAAGAAGCAAGTGATGAGCTTGGACCACTGACCTTGTGGTTCAAACTGACCTTGCAGTCCAGCTCATTAACAGTCCCCCATTTTTATTGCCAGTGTCTACATTGCCTGTCCCTACCAACCCACTGCACTGAGAAAATGAACTTGATCCTTGATATGAAGAATGCTTCCATATTCAAAATTCAGTTGGAATTTTGAGCAGCTGCATCCATTAGTAAAGATGTTGTTGTTAAGTGACGTTGAGTTGGTTCCGACCCATAGCGACCCTGTACAGGATCTCCAAGGCTGTAAATCTTTACAGGAGTAGAACACCTCATCTTTCTCCCACGTAGCTAGTAGTTTCGAACTGCTGGCCTTAAGGTTCACTGCCCGATTCATAACCACTACGCTACCAGAGCTCCTTACAGTTCATCAAATTGTTGCAATTTACACTTGCTCACAGTATCAAGCATCTTTATCTTCATCTGGTCTAATTCTGGTAAGCTAGCCATCCAAGCTAATTAAAATGGGGACTAGCTGCAAGTTTGGGAGTTGACACATGTCTCCCTGCACTTCTGACCAGTTGACCACTTCACTCTCAGCTCTTGTCCCCAGTGACTTCTACCCATGGACTCGAGAGTTCACACATCTCCCTGAATGTCAGACCAGTGAGCCCTTCCTCTTCTCTCTCTCATCTCACTGTCCATGGGTGTCAATGGAACAACATCAGACTCAGCCCATGTCTACATTGCTGCATTTCCCCCACTTCCACTCATAAGTAGATCTGGGTAGTCTTCAGCAAGCATACTGGATCATTTGCAGGTTCCCTTTGAGTTTAAGTCTTAAGAGGGGTTTTTCCATGACTTTTCTTGCCTTGATGGCTCCAAATCAGCTAGTTTACTTGGTATTCTAATAGCCAAACAGTCTGCTTTTTTTTCTACTGGTCTTTCTTTCAGTAGTAATCTTCTGCTCTCCCTACTGTTCTGGTTGGTCTACATGTCTTTTCAAGTGGGAATGTTCCAGGTCAGAAGGTTCTGGGTTGGCCTCAGGATTCCACCCCGTATTCTACAAAACTTTAACAAGAAGCCTATTTTTCTGGGCAAATTCTAATTCCCCTGCTAGCAGATCCAATCAGTTATAGGCTGAAGATGGGCTTACAGGCATTCTGTAGTCATAATTCTCAATATTCATTTCTACAACACATAAATGTCTGTTTTACAATAGTAGGCCGAGAACCAGTATCCACAAGACAATCAAGCACATAAATACTTTTCCCCTCCTTTAGCCATTCAGACTAGGTCTTGATCCCTATATCACAGAACACTGTTGTTCCAGGGTTATGTATAAATTGCTATCTACCTCTCTCCTGGAGTCCTGGTGTGGCGC